CTTTTCCGTCTCTCCTCGCGAACAAAACTGTATCGTCCATTATGTTATAAACCAGGGGAGGTGATCCGAGCAAGCGGCACCTCTGGATAGTGCCTGAAACCATATTCTGTGATACAATTTACACTGTCACGGCTCAGATGCAACCATGCTACGAACACAGTGATGAACCAGCCATGTTCCCTTCGTAATCAGTTCAGACGAAGAGTCGCTTCTTTGCGAAACAGTCTCTCTCTATATATATAAAAGAGGTTATAGTAGTTCCAACGAGAGAAAAGTGTGAATGTTAAAAAGAATAATCATATCGAGAATATTTAACATCAAAAAACATAAGAAAAAAAATAATTATTTTTAATAATATGTGGAAATCTCCATGCTTTGCCTGATGACGGTCGTGAGACCGGAAACGCGTGTAGCAAAATTATGGAAAAGCATAATATATATTTTTTAAAAATCCACATTACAACGAAAAGCGTTTGCGGTATATCTCTTCTTTTTAATATATATATATATATATATATATATATATATATATATATATATATATATATATATATTATGAAATGGACAAAGTCTGACAATTATTTTAAGACATTTTATGTTTATACATTCTTTATATAGATACAAATATTTAAGTAAATGCTCTGTTTATAATCAACAGTATTAAACAACAGTATTTCTAGGACATTCAAGCCGGTAAATGTTGTTTAATACTGTTTATTATGAACAGAATATTTACTTAAATAATTGTATCTATAAAAAGAATGTATAAACATAAAAATGTCTTAATATATATATATATATATATATATATATATATATATATGAGATAGCGAGATATATTTTTATCTCTCAAGAACAATATTAGGGAAAAGGTTTCATTGGTCTAAATTTGTTATGTTTGTAACATTACGCATGCGCCTGAACAAGGTATGCTTTAAATTTTAAATTGTTTTTTTTTTTTATCTGACTGATTTCATTTTGATTCTTTTTCTTCCACCCCACGCCATCTTTTTTGTTAGTAGATACCCACGTGATAATAGTTGTTCTATCAATGGCGAAATGCTGTAAGATCCAAGGAGCAAATTTACTGTAGATGACCTGTCGCCCATTTTACAAAACAATACATTAAATGAATTAGTTGCTCAGCGTAAGGAGACTGATCAGAATTTTGACATGAAAAAAAAAATGCTCCTCTGATCAAAGGAGAGATCAATTCACTACGATCAAAATATCTAGAGAGTTTCTTGATTGCAAGGTCATCTACGTTAAATTTGCGCCTGGGTTCTTATAAAATTTCACTATTGATGGCAGAACTTCTATTATCACACTGTGGGATATCTGATAACAAAAATAATGGAAAGAAGTAAAAAATAAAAATTAAGAATAAGAAAACAGAATCTAAATGAAATCGGCGGGACTAAAAATAAAAAAAAAATAAATTAAGCCTAAAATTTTAAAAAGTGAAAAATTAAAAAAAAAAAAAATTAACAAAATTTTTAAAAAATTTCAAATTTCCAACATCCTTCTTTTGTGCGCATGTGTAGTTACACCAACTTAAATTTATTCATATTTACCTTGTTCGGACTGTTGTCCTCATCCTTGTTGCCATTTTCACGACGTTTAGGCCGTTGTACGATATGGCCTTCTTCAGATGATCGGAATTTCGAACCGACCACTGTCTTTAGTCAACTAAATAAGAAAATAGTAACAATACCTCATATATATATATATGCTCCTGAAAAATTATTTCGATTGAGCTATCTGGGGAAGAAGTGTGAGTTTGTAAACAGTGACTATTATTGCTACTAATGCAATACTCTTCGATAAAACGAATCGAGTTCTCTCAGTCATTGCCATGTTTATCTAAGAATAAATAAACTTTACTTTCATCCCAACGGCTTAGTGGAAGATTCCCCGACTAACACAAATTCAGCCAGGTTTTGATCCTAGCTAGAGTCAATCGGACGATAACAAACACCCCTTGTCTGGTTGAACTGAATTTCTCTGTATCCTTGGAAACGTGAATTATGATTTTTGCTGTGTCTTTAAAACCCATTAATTTTAAAATTCTCTTGAGGATGAAATGGAACTAATGTCTTTAATTTAATTACAAAATTAAATTCGGAGCTTTCAGCTTCCATTTTTGAAACATGGTTAGAACTGTGTAGTGAAAAAAAAGATATTTTAAATCAATTAATTTATAATATTAATCCTCTTTAAATTTACATTGAGCAGTATTTTGTAAAAAAAAATATCTATAAGAACACCGGATTATATATCTTACTGTTCTTTCGTTATATATATATATATATACATATATATATATATATGAAAGTGAGAGAAACAGAGAGAGAGAGAGAGAGAGAGATAAAGAGTCAATGTGAGTTAATTTGGAGCAATGACGGAAGAAGGAAGCAGCGACATATGTGTAAGCATAATACAAATACACAATTGCCCCCACCCCAAAAAAAAAAAACATACAGGAAAGAAGAAGATAAAAAAAGAGAGAAAAAAAAAACATTGACACAAGGAAAAATCGAACACTCCAGAAATCATTGCTAACAAAGAAACAAACTTAAAGAGGTGAAACGCGCGGAGATTTGCTTGCAACTCTTCTAAATGAAGCAAGCAACAAAAAAAAAAAAAAAAAAAAACGAAAAGAAGAATATTTGCCGTGAAAGTGAGGGTTTCCGTTTTACCCATCCTCAGTACGAAAAACAGAGAGGCGTAAGGTTGTTATCTATTCTCCTGTCTCGTTGATTACCCCTACACCGCCATCGACATCTTCCCGCTCATTTCCAGCCAATTCTGCTATTACTTTTTACTAGCCTAACAATTTTCCATGATTCCGTTATCATTCTGATCTTCTGATGACAATAACACGAAAGGGGGTAAAAGTGGGTGTTGTAAAAGATTGCAGGGATGATCAGCATGGGGAGAAGTAAGAGTAAGCCGGGGAGGGAGGGGTAATAGAAAAGAAGACGTAAGCACGCTCTGAATGATATGGCGGGATCGGTGGTGACAATCAGTTTTGTCGGGCAGTTTTGATGAGTTGACACCACCCACAATTGTCAACATTGTCTTCTGTTATGAATGCGATTACTTATTAGGAAAGGACAGGGTAAAGGTAGAAACAAACAAAGGAGAAAGAAAGAAAGAAAGAAAGAAAGAAAGAAAGAAAGAGAAGAGAGAATGGAAGGCAAAGAAGGGAAGAAGGAAAATGAAAGAAAGAAAGAAAGAAAGAAAGAAAGAAAGAAAGAAAGAAAGAAAAAAAGAAAGAGAAGGGAGAAAGAGAAGGGAGAATGTAAGGCAAAGAAGGGAAGAAGGAAAATGAAAGAAAGAAAAAAGGAAAGCAAGCAAGCAAGCAAGAAAGAAAGAAAGAAAGAAAGAAAGAAAGAAAGAAAGAAAGAAAGAAAGGAAAGGAAAGGAAAAGCAAAAACGAAAGAATGAAATATACGAATTGGAAAAAAATGAATATATAAAAGAATGAAAAAAAAAAGAACGAAAGGAAGAATAAAAATGAAAGAAGAGAATAAATGAGCAAGAAAAGAAAAAGAAATTGACGGATATAAAAAAGAAAGGAAAAAAGGAAGGAAGGAAGGAAGGAAGGAAGGAAGGAAGGAAATAGTAAAAAAAGAAATAATGGAAGAAATGAATAAAAAAGTAAAAAAAGAATGTTATGAATATATAAAAGAAAGAAAGAAAGAAAGAAAGAAACGAAGGAAGTAAAGAAGGAAAGGAATAGTAAAAAAGAAAGAATGGAATAAATAATCAGAAAATAAACGGAAAAAGAAAGTGATCGGTATGAAAATGAATGCAAAGCAAGGAAGGAAAGAAAGGAATGAAAGGAAGGAAGGAAGGAATGAAGGAAGGAAGGAAAGAAAGAAAGAAAGTAAGAAAAGAAAGGAAGGAAAGAAAGAAAGATTGAAAGGAAGGAAAGGAAAGGAATAATAAAAAAAAATTAATGTACTAAATGAATAAAAAAGAAAAAAGAAAGTAATGAATATATAAAAGAAAGAAAGAAAGAAAGAAAGAAAGAAAGAAAGAAAGAAAGAAAGAAAGAAAGAACGTCAAGTTTAAATGTAAAAAAATAGATGGATAAGGAAAAGTGAGAAAATGACACAAAAGAAAGAAAAATGCAAATAAACAAGGAAAGAAGGAACATCAAGACGAAAGCTTGTGGGGAAAAGGAAACAAGAAAGAAAAAAGAAAGAAAGAAAGAATGATTGAATGATTGAATGAATAGATGGATGAATGGATGGAAGTCATAATAAAAAGAAAATACTTCGATGGGAAAAGAAAAAGTAGAAAATGACACAAAAGAAAGAAAGAAAAAGAAAGTAAGAAAGAAAGAAAAGATGAAAAGAAAGAAAGAATATAGAAAGAAAGAAAAAAGAAACAAACAAACAAACACTCAAAGGACTAATAAAAAAGAAAGAATGGAATAAATGATCAGAAAAAGAACAGGGAAAAAAAGTGATGGGTATGAAAAAGAATGGAAAAAAGGGAAGAAAGGAAAGAATAAGAGCAGGAAGGAAAAAAAGAAAGAAAGAAAGGAATAGTAAAAATTAAATAATGGAATAAATGAATAGAAAGAGAAAAATAAAATAATGAATATGCAAAAGAAAGAAAGAAAGAAAGAAAGAAAGACAGAAAGAAAGAAAGAAAGAAAGAAAGAAAAAGAACTAATAAAAAAAGAAAGTGATGGTATTAAAAGGAAGGAAGGAAGAAAGGAAGGAAGGAAGGAAGGAAGGAAATCAAGTGTGCGAGAAATATGGAAAGAGAATAGGAAAGACGACAGATAAGTAGGAAGTGTGATAAAGAAAGGATAACGAAGACAGAGAGGAAGGAGAAAGAGAAGAGATAGAATGGAAAAAAAGAAAAGAAAGGAAAGAAAAAAGGAATATAGATATAAAAGAAAGAGAAAGTGAAGAGACAAAGATGGATAAATAGTCACCGCCACCACACAAAAAAAAAAAAAACGAATAAAAAAAAAGACAATGAAAGTAAAATATACATTTTTATAGTAAATTTACAAGCATTGTAGAATGACCCACAATACCTATTTATACCAACACGACCGGAAGTGTGGATCTGGGAACAACAGCAGTTAAGAGGCGATGATTCCATGCTACTCAAGACCTCCCGATCAGAAGTATTGCTACCGGATGTAGTTTATTGTCATACCCAGGACGGCAATTTGTAAAACTTCAGTAATTTATAACTTTTATAAGTCCGTGCTATATTTTCTGGTTTTTCTGGCAAAGGGTTGATAAACCGTAAAAAAACAAATCAGTCAACATCCTTCCGCTATGAAATAGGTCAATATTTAGCACGTTTGATCATTTTTGTTTCACGGTTTATCAACCCGTATCGGTTATTTAGAGACGCATTATGTATATTTTTAGCAAATAATCTTACAAAATCAAACAAGAAATGAAAAATGGTTTCTCCTTGCAAGAACTAGTATTAATCATAGCAAATTGTTTTAGTTTTACGATAAAAAAAAATGTGTCGTTGGTAACTTTGTAATGGTAATCTATTGCTGATAAATTTCCTATTGCTAGTAATTTTATTATTGCTTGTAATTTTAGTGTAAAAATTAATTTTGGTACTTCCCTAATGTTTTGATTTTTATTTGACGGTGCACTGTTTGCCCATAGCTGGGACCCTAACAGGTGCTACCACCTCGGATCAAGGTGAACCTGGGAGGAACAGCAATTAAGCCTCCAATCTCCCAATCATAAGCCTTGCTGCCGGGTGTAGTTTATTGTGAAGAAAAATTACCTTGGAGATATTTATAGAAAGTGTAAATGGAAGCTACGTTACGGCGGTGGGAAAGTGACTGAAGCCGAGGTGCCAGATCAGGATTGATAATATTACAGAGCCTTCTTTGGATTTTGTCGAGTATCTTGAGATTTTTTTGATGAAGCGCTAGATTAAATATGGTGGCGATATTCAATGCCCGGACGCAGGTAGATTCATAAACGTTCAATATATAACCACACCACCGGTTTACCCGGGCGGAAGATGGGTTACCAAATCTGTTTGGCACCAGCTGCGATTGTGATAGCACGAAGGCACAAGTGTATTGGCTTTATTCATCTACTCATCCCTCATTCTCCAAGAAATTACAACGAAAACCCGCTCAACAACTATTGTTGTATAAACCACAGTTTGTCTATATGGACGTTGAATAAACGCACAATTGACTGAAAGGGCAGACGGAAGTCGAAATGCCAGGTCAGGGACCTTTATTCTAATTCTGTTCTAGTTCCACGTGCCATGCCTCTCAGTATCAGTTGTCTCCCTTTAACTCAACTCTCCAATTTTTCTTCACCTCAGCTGCAGCCAGGTTTTGAACACACAACTTTTTAGTCAAGTCACTGGATTCAACCAATCTACCCCGGTGGACGAAAGAAAGGATTCAGTTCAAAATTCCCATCACCTGAAGAAGACTGGAGTTTACAACAGCCGGAACGTCGTGAACATGACAATATGGACGAGGACAACAGCCAGAACAATGTAAAGAGTGTAAATAATTACAGTACCTCATCTCAGGAAAATAGACAGATATTTACTTGTTTCTGTCTTTCTTTCTTTTTGCTTTCATACCTCTTCTTTCTTTCTTTCTTTCTTTCTTCCTTTCTTTCTTTCTTTCTTTGTTTTTCCTCTTCTTTCATTCTTTCGTACTTGTTTCTTTCATTTCGCTTTTTTCAAATTCTTTCATACTGCCCTACTTTCTTTCTTTCTTTTTTCTTTCTCTCTCTCTCTTTCTTTCTTTCTTTCTTTCTTTCTTTCTTTCTTTCTTCTCATTCCAAGGAGTAAATCGATCCACTTATCATCCGGTTCACACTCCTACCCGGTTTTTGGACAGGAATATAGGTTTATCCCTAGTTTCCTGTTTCGGATTGGGTTTCCGGTTCCTTATAAATCTACTTCCGCTCTATACTTCTAACGTCTCCGCCTGAACTCTGAAGTTTTATTCACCAATTAAAAACTTGACTTTTAGAGTTGGCCGTTATTTTTCCTGCGTAGCCGACAAGACCTTCACTTCTTGCACCTTTCTTACGCTCATATAACACCACACAGTAACTCTCTACCTTGATTGGCTCTTGGGCCTAATATTGGATGAACATTAGAAAAAAATACTTTTTGTTTTTTATCTTTCTTCCTTTATTTTTTCTCGCTTTTTGTATTGTTTCTTCATTATATGATTATTTCAGACATACAGTCTCTTTCTTTCTTTCCTTCTTTCTTTCCTTCTCTCTTTCTTTCCTTCTTTTTCTCTTTTTTATGTGTATTTTTTTTATAATTCTTCTTTCCAGTTTATCTGCCTTTTTATTTTTGTTCCTTTCTTCTGTTTTTTCGTTTGATTTATGCCTCGATTACCAATTACCTTTCTTTCTTTCTTTCTTTCTTTCTTTCTTTCTTTCTTTCTTAGCCCCTGCTTTCTTTCTTTCTTTCTTTCTTCCTTTCTTTCTTTCTTCCCTCCTGCTTTCTTTCTTCTTCCTTCCGTCTTTTCTTTCTTTCTTTCTTTCTTTCTTTCTTTCTTTCTTTCTTCCCTCCTGCTTTCCTTCTTCCTTTCTTTCTTTTTCCTTCTTTCTTTCATTCTTTCTTTCTTTCTTTCTTTCTTTCTTTCTTCCCTCCTGCTTTCTTTCTTCTTTTCTTTCTTTTTCCTTCTTTCTTTCTTTCTTTCTTTCTTTCTTTCTTTCTTTCTTTCTTTCGTCGTGTCCTTTCTTTCTCCCTTCTTTCTTTCTTTCTTTCTTTTTTTCCTTCTTTTTCTCTCACTTTCTTTCTCATTTGTCTTTTCGCCGACCACTCTTTTTTATTATTTTCCTCTTCCTTCCTTCCTTCCTTCCTTCCTTCCTTCCTTCCTTCCTTCCTATCTTCTTTCTTTCTTTCCTTCTTTCTTTCTTTCTTTCTTTATTATTTATTTCAACATACTTTATTGACGTCTTTCTTTGTTTCTTTCTTTCTTTTTTCGGCCTTTCTTTTCGTGTTATTTCATTCACTTTTTTCTTTCTTTCCATCTTTTTTGTGTATTTCTTTCTTCTCCGCCCTTTCTTTTTGTATTACTTTTTACTTAATTTGTTTTTTCTTTCTTTCTTCTTTCTTTTTTCTTTTGTTTGATTCTATCTTTTTTCATGCTTGACTTTTGTCTTACTTTATTCGCTTTTTTCTGTCTTTCTTTCTATCGTTCTTTCTTTTCTCGTTTAATTTATCTCATTCTTTACGTTTTTCTTTTCCTCATATCTTTCTTTCTTCTTTCTTTCTTTCTTTCTTTCATTCACACATCTAGATTCTTTCTTTCCCCAATTATTAACTCTCTCTTTTTACCTCTCTCTCTCGCTTGCTCTTTTCCTCTCCAACACCGTTCTCCTTCATATTGTACCTACTCTTTTACGCTTTTCGTGCACCCTTTCCTAGTTTACCATCCTCAGACCACCAACCCCAACCAACCGTCTAATTCGTCGACCACCCAGCTACCCAATCAACTGCTAGCCTTCCCGACTCAGCCGCTGAATGTTTACACGGTGTTAAAAAAAACTGACCCATGTGACATTCCTGAGACGAAAGGATCAACGCTCCGTATTCTTTTGTGAAGAAAGCTCAATTACCGGCCGCTAATAAGGCTCGGATCAATCGTCGTCCAATTACAGCTACCACGCATGTTAATTATCTTACAATTAAGGTAGCCATAATGAGGTTAAGCGCGGGAGTGAGTGGCGTGTCGGAGAGAACTTAGAAGGCAGGAAATAGGAGGGAAATTGGAGGTAGGGTGAGAACAAGAAACAAAAAGGAACGATGCCGTAAAAAAAAAAAATACAAGGTTACGAAGAAAATAGAGATGGAAAGACAAAAAAAAAATAAAGTATCAAAGGTGACAAGAGAACAGAAATATATATTTTAATAAGTCATTTTGTACTTTCACGCATGTATTTGAAGATACGTTTCGTTTCGGTTTCATTATCGTTTTCCTTTCTACTTTCACTTTCGTTTTATCTCTGGTTCACGTTTCCCGCTTAATGCCATTTTATTTCCCGCTTTCTTTTCTGTTTACTTTCGCTTTCTTCACAGTTATTTGGTTTCTGTCTTGTATTAATATCTCTCCTCATTTTTTTTCTCATAAGTCGCAAATATTTTGAAAAATTTGACCTTCCTTCCCACTTTACGACCTTTCTTGCCTTTTCCCCTTACTTAATGTTTATAGCTGTGATCGTGTTTTCAAATCTACTTTAACTCATTCCGATTTAATACCTTTCTTCATTTTTCTTTCTTTATTTGTTGTTTTTTTTTTCTATGTAATTATTTATAATTGTTCGGTTCATTCTTTTACTTTTTCATTGTTCTTTCTGTCTTTTTTTTATTTTTATTTATGCTTTCACTGCCCATTGCCTCACTTTCTCCTTTCTTTCTTTCTTTCTTTCTTTCTTTCTTTCTTTCTTTCTCCATCTCTCCATACACCCATTTTGCTTACGTTATTCGCTTCTTTCTTTCTTTCTTTCATTCTTTCTTTCTTTCTTTCTTTCTTTCTTTCTTTCTTTCTTCCTTCCTTCCTTCCTTTCTTTCTCCATTTCTCCATCTACCCATTTTTGTTACGTTATTCGCTTCTTTCTTTCTTTCTTTCTTTTTCTTTTTTTTTCTGTGACTCAGTTTCTTGCATCTTTATTTGTTTGCTTCTTTCTTTCTTTTGTATTTCTTTTTTGTTTGTTTGTTTTCTTGTTTATTTGTTTGTCTCTTTCTTTCTTTTTTCATCCCTACTTCCTTCCATTCTTATTTTATTCGTTTCTTTCATTTTTTCTTTTATTCTTTCTGTCTGTCTGTCTGTCTGTCTGTCTTTCTTTCTTTCTTTCTTTCTTTTCCTTCTTGCATTTTGTATAACTTTATTGGCCTCTATGTGCCTCTGTTTATTCGCATCTTTATTTGTTTGTTTCTTGCTTACTTGTTCTTTTTTTCTTTGTCCTTTCTTTATTTGTTCCACCATGTTTACTTTTTATACTTTATTGGCTTCTTCTTTTCTTTGCAAATTTTATTTGTTAGTTTCTATTTCTCTTTCGTTTTTGTTTTTCTTTCCGTGTCATTTATTTTTGTATCACCTTTATTCGCTTCCTTCTTTCTTTCTTTCTTTCTTTCTTTCTTTCTTTCTTTCTTTCTTTCTTTCTTTCTTTCTCCATGCGAGCCTTTTGTCTTCGTTTCTTTCTTTCTTTCTTTCTTTTCACCTTCTTTGTGTTTTTCTTTTTTTCATTCTTTCCTTTTTTCTAGATGCTTACATTTTGTAATACTTTATTCGGTTTTTGTTTGTTTCTTTCTTTCTTTCTTTCATTTTGTATTACATTATTAGCTTTTCTTTCTTTCTTCCGTTCATTCATTCTATCTTTCTTGCTTTTTTTCTCTGCCCTTTTTATATATGTATTATATTTCTCGCTTATTCTTTCTTTCTTCAGTTCCATCTTTCTTTCTTTCTTTCTTTCTCCATGCGAGCCTTTTGTCTTCGTTTCTTTCTTTCTTTCTTTCTTTCTTTCTTTTCACCTTGTTTGTGTTTTTCTTTTTTCATTCTTTCCTTTTTTCTAGATGCTTACATTTTGTAATACTTTATTCGGTTTTTGTTTCTTTTTTTCTTTCTTTCTTTCTTTCTTTCTTTCATTTTGTATTACATTATTAGCTTTTCTTTCTTTCTTCCGTTCATTCATTCTATCTTTCTTGCTTTTTTTCTCAGCCCTTTCTTTTTGTATTATATTTCTCGCTTATTCTTTCTTTCTTCAGTTCCTTCTTTCTTTCTTTTTTTCTTACTTTCTCTCTTTCTTTCTTTCTTTCTCCATGCGAGCCTTTTGTCTTCGTTTCTTTCTTTCTTTCTTTCTTTCTTTCTTTCTTTCTTTTCACCTTGTTTGTGTTTTTCTTTTTTCATTCTTTCCTTTTTCTAGATGCTTACATTTTGTAATACTTTATTCGGTTTTCTTTCTTTTTTTCTTTTTTTATTACTTTCTTTTCTTTCTTTTTCTTTTCTTTCTTTTTGCTTTCTTTTCTTTTTGTATTACATTATTAGCTTTTCTTTCTTTCTTTTTTTTTACCGTTCATTCATTCTATCTTTCTTGCTTTCTTTCTCTGTCCGTTCTTTTTGTATTATATTTCTCGCTTATTCTTCCTTTCTTCAGTTCCTTCTTTCTTTCTTTTCTTTCTTTCTTTCTTTTTTATTACTTTTAGCTTTTTCTTTCAGTTCCTTTATCTTTTTCTTTTTCTTTCTTCCTTTTTTTGTATTATATTTCTTTCTTTTTTCTTCAGTTCCTTCTTTTTCTTTCTTTTTTACTTTCTTTCTTTTCTTTCTTTCTTTTTCTTTTTTCTTTCTTTTCTTTCTCTCCATCCATGTTTTTTTTTTAATTTTATTCCTTTTTTTCTCGTTCATTCTCACCCTTTCTCTCTTTCTCTCTGTCTCCCTTGCTCTTTTCCTCACCACCACACATTTCTCTTTCATAGTGCTTGATCGCACTTTCTTTTATTCACTCTTCGTCATTTTCGTCGCTTCACTTTTTTCTTCTTTTCGCTTTCTCGTTCATTCTTCTTCTTTCTTCACGTTCTTGTTTTATTTCTCACCTTTTTCCGTTGCTTTCTTCCCATTTTCTCTACGTTTTCTTTTCAACTTCTGCTTTCTTTCTGCCTTTCTCTCTTTGTTATTTTCCAATTTTACTTCCTTCTTTCTATTCTTTCTTTCCTTCTATTTTTCTTTTGCAAAAATACACATTTATGAGCTTCCTCCTGACAAGCTCATTTACATTATATCCCACATTCTCTTAAACTCTTTCTTTCGCATTCTCTTTCATAATCTCTTACATTCCCTCTCACACTCTCTCTCTTCACATACTCTTTCACACGCACTCACACTCTCTCACACAGTCCCTTTCACATTCTATCTCATAATATCGACACCCTCTCTCTCTCTCTCTCTCTCTCACACACACACCTCTTACATTCTCTCTCACGTTCTTTTTCATAACCTCTTACACTCTCTCTTTCACATTCTCATTCTCATTCTCTCTTTTTTATTCTCTCTTCTACTCTCTCTTTCACAGTCTCTTTAATAATCTCTTATATTCCCTCTTACACTCTCTCTTTCACAGTCTTTCATAATCTCTTACACTGTCTCTGTCTGTCTCTCTCTCGCTTTCTCATTCTCTTACACTCTCTATTTCAGCCCCTTTTCAGTTCTCTTATGATCTCTTTCACTGTCTCTGTCTCTCTCTTTCACAGTTTTTATGATCTCTCATTCTCTTCTCACTCTCTTTTCTTCATCTTTCATAATCTCTTACGCTCTCTCTCTCTCTCTTTCACATTCTCTTACACCCTCTCTTTCACAGTCTTTTATGATCTCTTACACTGTCTCTGTCTCTCTCTCTCTCTCTTTCTCATTCTCTTACACTCTCTCTTTCTCTTACAGTCTCTTATGATCTCATTCTCTTACACTCTCTCTTTCACAGTCTTTTATAATCTCTCTGTCTCTTTCTCATTCTCTTACACCTCTCTTTCACAGTCTTTTCATAATCTCTTACACTGTCTCTCTCTCTCCTTCTCATTCTCTTACACTCTCTCTTTCACAGTCTTTTATAATCTCTTACGCTGTCTCTCTCTCTTTCACATTCTCTTACACCCTCTCTTTCACCGTCTCTTTCATAATCTCTTATATTCTCAGTCTTTTTTGCACTCTCTCTTTGTCATTCTCTCTCTCTTTCTCATTCTCTTTCACAGTCTTTTATGATCTCTTACACTGTCTCTGTCTCTCTCTCTCTCTTTCTCATTCTCTTAGACTCTCTCTCTTTCACAGTCTTTTATGATCTCTTACACTGTCTCTGTCTCTCTCTCTCTTTTCTCATTCTCTTACACTCTCTCTTTCACAGTCTTTTTATGATCTCTTGTCCTGTCTCTCTCTGTCTCTCTCTCTCTCTCTCTTTCACATTCTTTTAATCTCTTACTGTCTCTTTCACATTCTTTTCTCTTTCACTGTCTCTTTCACTGTCTCTTCTCTCTTGCTCTCTCTTTTCTCATTCTCTTACACTCTCTCTTTCACAGTCTTTTATGATCTCTTACACTGTCTCTGTCTCTCTCTCTTTCTCATTCTCTTACACTCTCTCTTTCACAGTCTTTCATAATCTCTTACACTGTCTCTCTCTCCTTCTCATTCTCTTACACTCTCTCTTTCACAGTCTTTTATAATCTCTTACGCTGTCTCTCTCTCTCTTTTCACATTTCTCTTACACCCTCTCTTTCACCGTCTTTCATAATCTCTTACACTCTCTCTCTCTCTCTCCTTTTCACATTCTCTTACACCCTCTCTTTTCACGGTCTCTTTCATAATCTCTTAAATTCTCTCTTTGCTCTCTCTTTCATATTCTCTTACACTCTCTCTTTTCACAGTCTTTTATGATCTCTTACACTGTCTCTGTCTCTCTCTCTTTCTCATTCTCTTAGACTCTCTCTCTTTCACAGTCTTTTATGATCTCTTACACTGTCTCTGTCTCTCTCTCTCTCTTTCTCATTCTCTTACACTCTCTCTTTCACAGTCTTTTATGATCTCTTACACTGTCTCTGTCTCTCTCTCTCTCTCTTTCTCATT